GTTTTCCTACACTTAATCTGGGAGTTACCCAAATGGGGTTCCAAACCACGAAGTTTCTCTTTGTCCTAAGGACTTAGGTCAAAGGATTTAGCTTTACCAGCTTTAACCAAAACGTATCCTAGACCTAATGGTGCATAATAGCAATTTTAAGTATCTTTCCCTAAAATTATTCTTAAAAACTTACTTCCAACTTAAATGAATACAGTATTTCTCTGTCCTTAAGAGGGGTTCCAAACCAGTATACAAAGATTCCCAAAAGGCTTCAAAAATAGTAGAAGAGGCAATTTGAATATTCCTGTGAGTCTTAGAGAAATTATGTGATAAGTTAGCTGGATTATTGGTTATTGGATTTTAGATAAAAGGAGATAGCTCTGATTGACTGGTTCTTATGGAAGATGAGGTCTAGGTGTATCTGATTCATTTGCTTTTCATCTATATATAAATATTTGTTGAGACTTCCACTGGACCAGTGCTGGAGATGCCAAATGAACACGAAAAACACCCATCCCCTGATGTCTTCAGAATTCACTGGACAAGTAGCCCACATAAACTGTTACCTCAAATTAAAATAATGATTGCACCAGAGAACACCACCTAAGCCACCCTGGCAGGTATGAGGCAAATTTCTCAGGGAAAGCAGTTCTGTAGAAAACAATCGGTACTTGGCCGAAGTCTGAATAGTTTTAGAAAGAAGAGACAAACTGTGATATTTGCAGTAGGTTTGGATGAGAACCAAATTAGCTTGTACTTGAAGTCCAAAAACTAGGAAGAATTTAAAAAAAAAAAAAAAGGAAAGGGAGTGCTAGGGTTGGGGGGAAACTTCAAAAGAATCACTCCCCCTGAGGTCCCACATTTCTCCTGTGAGCTGAGGTGCTGTTGTTACCTCCACATGTGGAGGAAGATGGGGCACAGGGTCCTTGGTCTAAGACATGGCTGCTTGCTTCCTGCCCTTTCCTGGTGAAACTTGGGCTCATCTCAAGTCAAGGCAGGTCCCAGAGCCAGAGGCCCTGGTCTTTTGCATGGGGGGTTGTTCCTAACTCCTGGGAAGAACCCCCGGTTCCATTGCGAGAGCTGAGCTTCTGGCTCTCCTGCTTGTTGATTCGGGCAGTCCGGGGCCACACAGTGCCACGTGTCAGGGTTGGCAGGATGCTGCCGCAACCCAGAGTCCAGCTTGGTGCCTACTGACCCATCACAAAACCTCAGCGCAGGAAAGCCGGTCCCTGCAGTTGCAAGAGCTCTAGAGTAGGCACGTCACCCCTCAGGACTCAGTGCCTCCCCTGGGGGCCATCCGCCCTTCCTGACCCAGGAGGCGTGGTCTGAAGCCTGAGAGGGTAGCTGACCTGGAAAGCTCTATGCAACAGGGTTAGTGGTCAGTAACTACAAAGTCGAGTCACCCTAACTCTTCAGAGGGGCCACATTCTTGTCACTCGCCCATATAAAAATAACCTTGCTGCGTGCCCCGAAGCAGGCTTGCACACACCGCCTAGGAGAGCAATGTCCTGGAGCCCCAGCACTGGCGCCTAGTTAGTGTCAAGCCCCACCCACACTTCCTCTGGCCTCCGTTCCCCCTGCCACGGGCAGCTGGGCCATTTCACGGACTGAGCTCGTCAGCTGTCACCAGCCAGTTGAAGCTGGGTCTAGTCAGACCCGTGTGGGGAGGTTTGACCTCTGAGAAAACATCCAAGAGCTGCGCAGGAGATGCTGCTGACCTGAGTCGGTCTCCTCAACATAGGACTATCCTAATGGTTGCTTTCCAAATAAAGCAAATAGGACAGAGAAAGCGAGCAAGCGAGCGAGCACAGAGACTACATGATATCCTGTTAAATTCCTAGTCTAGTTTTCAGTAAGCAGGGATAGAACGCGAAGGAGATCTTTCCCCTGTCATAAATGTTCGTCTTGAAGATGTTTTTTCATAAGTTGATTCTTTTTTTTTTTTAAAGTTGATTCTTTAAATGTATAAGTGCACACAAACCCATTTGGTCCCACCGAAAGGAATCTTTCCTGAGTAAGGGCTGTGGAATTACTTTGGGGGTCAACTTCCTGCCCCGTGGAATGCAGTGGGAACATTCCCACGATGGGAGGGGCCTCTCCCAGGGCATTCCAGCCGGGAGGCTCTGCAGAGGTTTAATGCAGACAGTATCGTGTCCCAAGATGCTATCAGCATCTCCAACAGCCAAAGGCCAGGATGGCCTGAGCAGCTCACAATAAGATTCCACAGAACTTATTTGCAGCATAAGCAGAGAAGACTGTGAGTGTGAGTGTGTGTGTGTGTGTGTGTGTGTGTGTGAATACAACAGGGAAGCCTCAGACCTTTCACATGGGAGAGGAAAGCCAACCTTCTATTAACTCGAGCTTACCATATTCCCATCAAGGGGATGCATACTGAGAGAAAAACTTACCATCCTTCGAAACTTCAAGAAAGCTGTTCTCAGACCCGTGAGGGTCAGGGAAACAGCCACAAGCTAATAAAGCAGCAAATGAAGCCAAACTCATCCATTCACTCACCCACTAGACTCAGGATGCCGACTCAGGGCCAGGCACGCTTCCAAACACCAGAGACAGAGCGGTGAACAGAACCACAATCCTGCCGTCCGCTGCTCCTCTCGGGACCTTGAACCTGTTCACCTGTCAGAGGTCAATGCCAGCCTGTGACCTCTAGACCATACCTTTCATCTACCACCCTATGCCAGCATCGAGAACAGAGCCCGCAACACAGGTGGTGTTCCATGTGTTTATTGCATTAATGCCCATGAACAGGAATTTGACCCTGAACCCTTTAAAAGCTTCGTGATACTCTCTGGTGACAAAGCCCGTCAAAAGTTACCTGCTCACTCACCCAGGCGGAGGAGCAGAGACATAAAGGTGAGGGGGATGCGGCCGCAGCCCCCGGCAGCCTACGTTCTGGTAGAGAAACAGCGAGGGCCGAAGCACGGCCATGCAGAAGGGCTGGCCGATCTAAGAAACTCCATGGATTTTGAGGTGATTGGAGCCCATGGGAGGATGGCAGGAGATGAAGGTGAAGGGACAGGCAGGGTTGGGCACAAAGGAACCAAAGATTTGGATTTTTCTTCTGCCAGTCACAGGGACAGAGGTGGGGAGGGATGGCGTCTAGACAGAGGCAAGGTCACGCTGGCTCAGCGAGGAGAGCCCTGGGGGGAGTCAAGGCTGGTCAGGAAGGTAGTGCTGTGGTCCAGATGACAGCTGGCAGGGACTCGAGGTAGGTGGTGAGAGCCCGGCAGGACAGGGCCACGGGAGGAGAAGGGGCGGGCCTTTGTGTTGCACTAGATGGAGAGAAAATGAGCTTTTCCCCTCTAGACAAAAAGACCCACTGCGGCAGGGACCGCGGCCTGCAGGAAGCGCGTGGGTGAGAGGGAAGGACACCGCCGCTCCGCTCTCTAGCTTGTGCACTTGCTGCTCTTCAGAGAAACTTCCCTGGCTCCAACTGGCGGCTCACAGCACGTAGTTTAAACCCTTCACACAGACGCTCGACCTCTTTGTGGTCAGGTCCTGGCCTGGCCTTAGACTGCCGTGGGCACCCCATCATTTCCCAGCTCTGGGTCCCCACTCCTGCTGTCCCCTCTGCCTCCATGCCCTCCCCCCGCCTCATCTCTGTAGGCCACCATCCATTTCAAAGGTCGCCTCTTTCAAAAATCATTACGTTCCCTCAACCCTCCTTTCTTTATATTTGCCTTATGTCTCGGTTAGGCTGGGAGCGAGTCCCCAGAGTGTGACTGCTTTCTCTCACTCATCTTCCCATCGCCTCCGGACTGACAGTCACCTGCAGTAGGATTCAGTATCTTCTTTCTGAGTTGAAACAAAGAACCCACAAGATGTAGCGCTTTGTGTAGGAGATGGGAATGTTATTGCTACCTGCTTCGTAAGGGGGTTCTGAGGGCTGGCCGCATATTGAGGGCGCAATGATGCCATTCATACCATTTTTTAAAAAGATTTCATTTTTGAGAGGGACAGTGACAGAGCATGAGCAGAGGGAGGCAGAGGGAGAGGGAAAAGCAGACTCCCCACTGAACAGGGAGCCCAACCCATGACCTGAGCCAAAGGCAGAGGCTTAACCAACCAAGTCCCCCAGGCGCCCCCACATCATTATTTCTAAAGAGAGTAAGTTCCATTTGTTCTTCCCCAGCTTAATACGAGGGCTCTGTCTCCTTATAATGAGGTTAAAGGATAAAGCATTACTTTAGAATTCTCCAGAATTTGTCCCCTGGAGTCTGTAAGGAGGGAACCACTGTTCCGGCCCCCTGGGGATATTCCTTTCCAAATCCCGAAGATCCTCCTCTCTGGAGGCTTCTCCTGAATGCTTTGGGTGGAGGACGAACTGATCAGCTTTTGACTCTGGGAAATGAGGCGATTGGGAAGGACCCCCTTGGCATCCCAGCCCCTGCAGGCCAGCTGCCGCCGCGAAGGTCAGAAATGGAGCCTGAAGTGGGGAGCAGGAGGTGGGCAGCCTGGCCCGACTGTTCAAAAAGAAGCGAGCACGCAATTGCGACAGTCCTTGAGTTTTGTTTTTATTTTTAAAATCAAAGTAGAAGAACTTTGTGAGTCCCAAAGGAGCACTTTTATGTCATTTTTATTTTATTTTTTTTCCTTTTCTTTAGAATTTCCTCTAAAACCCACTGGGGGGATTTCACGTATTCCAGATTTAGCCCTTGAATGGGCTTTTGTTCCTGCCTTCATTTTTTCCTTTTTAAAAATTTCTCCTCTGATTCTCAATTAGCTATTTCTGGGATTATAGAGTCTGTAAACTCAACCGCAGAACTTCTGGAAAGCCTTTTCATTTCTGCATGAGTTTATGACGGTAAGATCATGTATTCTGCTTGACTCCGAAGGTAAGAGAAGACCTGTCGCAGGCCAACTCTTACGCCAGCAGGCTGGGTTCACCATGACGAAGCGTTTAGGGGCACTAGTCCTGTTTTCTAGCATCACAAAGACTCAAAGTTGGACAATGCCTTTTGAGGGTCATCCTGATGGTTTTCTCTCTCCAGGGACCTCAGACAAATCTAACCTGGAGCTCATCACTCTGACGTGTACCTGCGTGGCTGCGACCCTCTTCTGGCTCCTGTTGACGCTCTTCATCCGAAAACTGAAAAGGGTAAGAACATTGCAGATGAAGTTCTAGGCTTCTTTTTACATGATGTTCTAAAATGCTAGCCTCCCGTCTAGAGTACGCACGAAGCCGGTGTCAGACTCCAGTCCCCTTCTCCCTGGCTTCTGATTCTGGTCTGGGGAACACCAAACATGAGTCATTAAAATGCCTCTCAACCATCAAGGGGAATATTCAAACCAAAACCTAGAGCAATGAACAGAGGTCTATTTCCCAGAAACAGAAGGGATGTTTTTGATGTAAAAATAGGTCATAAAATCTTTAAAGTCAGCCTAAGACCTGCAAAGTCTTCTTATTCTCTGCCGAGAAATGAAAAAGCAAAAGCAAAATAGAGACCCACCTCTGACTTACGTCTCATAACATTATGGGAGGGCACACAGCATACGGTGGTTCTGTACGGAACCCTCCTCTGAGCCCCACCACACAACTACATTCTTTGCTGCAAGGTTCAACCTGAACGCAAGACATCAGCTCTCCATCATCAGGCCTGCAGCTTGCTTCTCTGAAGTTCCAGGGAGGAGAGCCAGCATGCACTCATCCATTCATTCATGCCTCCAACATGTACGCGCCTGCTCCATACGGAACATCAGGCTGTCGCGTGACAGTGGAGAGGACATGCAGAGGGTACAGTCGGAGAGGAGCCTGGCTTTCACCAGTTACACACACAAACGTAAACCTGCCACTGGAGGCAAGCTGGCTGAAAGTTGTCCTGTAAAGGGGCAGTCGGGTGAGAAGGGAGGGAAAAGTGCTTCAGGCAGAGGGAGAGCCCATGTGAGGCTGGGGCAGGACAGGGACACTTCAGGAACCAGAGCCTGACAGAGGCCAGTGTGACTGCCGTGGAGAGAACAAGGTAGGAGGTGAGGTGGGAGAGGACAGGCGGCAGACGCTGGCCACACAGCGCCTTGTAGGCTGAGGTAAGAAATTCAGTGTCTGTTCTGGGAGTAAAAGAAAGCCTGGAGTCTGGGGGCAGGGACCAGTATTGTTACGCAAAGGGAGGTAATCATCAGTGAAAGAGAGCTGTGTCTGGAAGGAGAATTTTGGCTTCAGCAAGAATGGACCAGAGGCAAGGGTACGTAGAAGAACCCACCAGAAGACTTTCTAGTAGCCCAAGTGAGAAATGGTGGTATCTCTTAGTCTAAGTGATTAAAATTCAAGACATATTTAGCAGGTAAAATCAACAAGACTTGAAAAGTGTCAAGGAGGCCTCCTCCATTTCTAGAGATTTCTTAGCCCTCATTATCACGTCAGGTCTTATGATGAGCTCTTCATGTACTATCTCAATTAATCCTTCCAAAAATGCAAGGAAGTAGATGTGTTAGCATTCCTACTATAGAGGGAAAGAGAGGTTCAGAGAGGTAAAATAACCTGTCCAAAGTCATAAAGCTAGCTAGAGTTGGAGTGGAGCGTTGAACCCAGGTTGTGTGACCTTAGGCTTAGTAACCAAACCAATGAGGTGTCCTTTACGGGGTTGGGATGAGAGGCGAGGCTCAGTGGGCATCCTCTGTGATAATACGTAACATCAGGCATGGGCTGTGTGGAACGACTGGTTTTGAGATGTGACAGTGAAGGCCACTGCTCTAGAATGGCACAGAGGCCACACCACCCGCATTTTAAAAGGGGAGACAGAGCATGGAGGGAAGTAGGTCTAACACAAGCAAAGCTTGCCAAATCTAGAAGGGAGGTCCCAAGCCTACTAAAGAGGAGGGGGGAGAAAAAACATTAGAGAAAATGAAGTTCAGAGAAAGAGTTTGAAGGCTGTGGCAGAAAGGAAAGGAACAGAAAAACGCAGCCCACCCTCCTCCTCCCCACGGCCCAGAGGAGGGAAGGAACACCCAGGAGCAGAGTGGAAATAAGGCTGGAACAGTGAACCGGGACATTGAAGGTGGCCCTAGAACTTCTAAAAATTTGAAATCTTGATGTCAATAAGAAAGGAGGAGAACAAGCGATTATTCTCTCCAAAAGAGAATCCTTAGAGAATTTGATGAATTGTGGGAGGCAAAGAGATACAGGTCCTCAAAAACTATTTCCATGTGGTTTCTGTAACGGCAAGTGAATTCCTCATTGATAGGGACTGGATGCTATCCTTTTACCCCCACGCTGCGCAGGCCAGCGTTAGGATGAGAGCTAACATTGATGGATGCTGCCTGTGTCCCAGGCCCGGTTCTAACAGCTTGACATGGATGGTTTCATGCAATATTCACCACAGCCCTAGGAGATAAGGACTGTCATTATCATTATTCCGCAGATAAGGACACCAGGTTTAGAAAGGTTAAGCCACTTGCCGAGAGGTTAGGTGCGGATCCAGAGCTGATCTGTGACTCGGAGCCCGGCAGCCAGCAGCCTCAGTGCCTGTGCCCTGAAGCACTTCGCTGTGTAGCTTCCAAGCCAAACACCTGGTAGCTGCTCAGTGTTAATGTCAATCGGAAGAATAAATATTTGTCAACTAAGATTCTACTCTCCAACTCTCCTCGAGCCCTTACTTGAGGCTTGTCTGGTGTTTCCTCTCATCTGCCTTATTGAGATAAACCATAAAATTCCATAGGGGGACTGTCTTTCATTGCCTGATCCCCCGTCTCTCTCAACACCTCCACAAGCTTCCCCACGTGTGCTCCCGAAACTGACACGTTCCTTGCTAGGCTTCCCCTAGCCTGTGCGCTTTGAAGATTGGAGGTTGTTTCTCATGGCCTTGCCTATAATGGGCATCAAAAAGTATAGTCATAAAACCTGCCCCGGTGTCTCCTTCAGTGCACACCCATGACCCTGGAAGAGGAATTGTATTCCTTCCCAGTCTTCTAGACTCCCTCGAGTGTCCAATGGGCTGGCCCTCCCAGATTAGCACCAGTGGCAAATGTAGCTCGGGACCAATGTGCTCTGTGTCTTTCTCTGGTTTCCACTTCCCGTGGAGGCCAGGCCGATCTTTCTGCTTCGAGCTATTTGTCACACATTTCAGTGATAATTTCTGGGAGAAGGAGACCGATTGCAAGTGATGGATGAGGTGAGCTGTGACAGCCCAGAACAGGGTGAGTAAGAGCTGAAGAATGCAGGCGAGCGTGAAATGGTGTGTATGGAGAGGGTGACTTCTCTCCTGAACTCGGGTCCTGCCTAGGGAAGGGCAACGCAAGAGGCTTCCAAAACTCATTGAAATGAAGCTGATGTAACTTCCAGGCAAGACTTTCCAAAACCCACTTTGTATGTTTAAGCAGCCTTTTTCCCCTCCGCCCCTCAACTGCCCATAGAAATGCCAACGTCACATCTACATCCGAATTAACCAGCAACACAACTATTGATATGAATCTAAGACACTAAATGTAAATCCAGTTATCTATGCTCTGAAATAAAAGATCTTATCTGGCCTTGTTGTCCATTACCAAGATAACATAAGCACCTGAAGGCAGATGCTCACCTTGCTTATTTGACAATCCCACTAATGGCCAAAGAGCCCAGGATACAGCTGTGTTTTCTTTTCTTCTTCTTTTTTTTTTTTTTAAGATGCATTTATTTATCTATTTGACAGATCACAAGTAAGCAGAGAGACAGGCAGAGAGAGATAGGAAGGGAAGCATGCTCCCCACTGAACAGAGAGCCAGACATGGGGCTCAATCCCAAGACCCCAGGACGACCACCCGAGCTGAAGGCAGAGGCTCCAACCCACATAGCCACCCAGATGCCCCCACAGCTGTGTTTTAAGTCCCATGCCCTATAGGCTCCTGGGGCGTTGAAATAATCTATTTCTTATTGAAGGTTAATCTTAACTCTGTTCTCACCGAGGGACCCCACAGTGTTTCTGCAGGTAGCTGCAGGAACCAAGGAGCCAGACCTTCTGCATATATTTAAATACTCCACATGAAATATGCGTCTCAGCCATCCTGAGCTCCAGGGTTCACTTCGCCACCTCTGACCTTTCTTGCAAATGCGGAAAAGCCATAGTGACGCTTCTCACTGTTGGCCTGGCTTTTGACGTATATCCCTGCTTGGACAGAATGGCCATGGAAAGTTATTTTCAGTCAGTCATTTGGAATGATATTATAAAAATGCTTTGCATGTTTCGGAGAAGGAGTATCATCGGATCATTGTCTGAGAACAAGCAACAAGGTCACCAGAGAATCTGGGTGCATACTATCAGAGACTATGGACGAACCAGCCTACAGAAATGTGGCATGAGAAGAGCAAGGGGCTGTTTAATGGGAAGTGTGTCCTTCTGACGTGTATGCAAAGGAGTACTTTCTGTACCCAACCACACGGTTTTGACCGAATGGTCCAAAGCACATGTCTTTTAAGGGTTTTTTAAGCTGTTTCCTTGTTGGTGACTGTGAGATCTCTTTCCTTCCCAGTCTTCTTCTGAAATAAAAACAGACTACCTATCGATCATAATGGACCCAGATGAAGTTCCCCTGGACGAGCAGTGTGAGCGGCTCCCTTATGATGCCAGCAAATGGGAGTTTGCCCGGGAGAGACTGAAACTGGGTAACGTATCAGCAGATCCCTAAACCCACACCGAGCACCTACTGCATACAACACACTGTGCTCCGAGGGCTCCAAAAGTAAAACAGACTCGGGATTCTCCCCTCCAGCTGCTCACAGACTAGCAAGGGAGATGGGCACAGAGGGAAATAATTCTAACAGTATGCTGGATACCAGTACAAGGGGACCAGAGAGGGGAATGCCAGGGTGGCTCAGTTGGTTGAGCATCTTTCTTGGGCTCAAGTCATGATCCCGGGGTCCTGGGATCGAGCCCCGCATCAGGCTCCCTGCTCAGCAGGAAGCCTGCTTCTCCCTCTCCCACTCCCCCTGCTTGTGCTCTCTGACAAATTATAAATCAATCAAAATTTTAATTTTAAATCAAAAATTTAAAAAAAAAAGGGGAAGACCGGGGCTCCCACTTATTCTCGCCACAGTTTCTAAGCACCTCCTCTGAGCAGCAGACACCCGTCTAAGCCATGAGGCTACGCAGGTGTCTGAGTGCCTTCCCTCCAAAGATGAAGGAGATCGCCACAGAAGGAGATAAGTGAAGGGCACGGATAGTTTCACCACGAGGCTTTCAAGTACAGGCACTCCTAAACAGGGACATTTTTGAGGACGTAGAAATTTGTGACCTAGAATACAATTCAAGATGGCAAGGAACAAACAGCACAGCCAAACATGTGGTCAGAGCGTCAGCGCCCCTTCAAGGCTGTGGACCCCATAGACCAGTAGGCACAAATCCACAGATTCTATACGCTCCATTTCTGTGGGCGTTCAAAACGTCCAGACAGAGAAGAAAGGGGTCATTTAAGTTTCATTTCTGAAGAGCAAGGATGGTTGTTCCCCCATAAACATCAGGCAACCGTGCTTTCCTCCAGCTCAGACATCACAATGCAAATTAATCTCCAGCCTGGGGTAGCACAAAACAAAAGGAGCCTCGGTGACTCTTGCCCAAAATATTTGGACTGTGGCTTCTGAAAAATTTCTACTCACTCCTGTGTATGCCAGAATCATTAATAGTTGGAACCGACAAGAGATCATGGATCCAGTGTCCTGGATCTTGTCAGGAAAGAGCCCGTCGTTCCAAATTCGACGGCATTGCCTCGCCTCCCCCAACAGGCAGACTATATTGGAGTGGGGGGTCTGAGGGGACGGTGAGGGAGAAATGGTTCTTATTATTGTTCTCTTGGGCCTTGAAATGACTCTGCTTACGTTTCTTCTTACACGAGAAAGAATACTTGGCCCCAAGAGTACGTTCTGTTCGGCCTGGGGAAGAAAATTGGAAATCAGTAAAAAGCTGGAGAGACAGGCAAAAGCCAGCAATGGCTGCTGACAGGGGAAAAAAAAAATCAACTAAATTTAGAGTAGTTAAGGGCAGGTGGTACACTAGATGAGTTCCTTCTGCAAGTCTAAATTATATGGCGGCTAGCCCAGCCCCTCCATGACCTTGGCAGAGAACTGGGATAATTTTCCCATAGCCATAAGCCATTCTCAGGCCACAATGCTTTCCAGAGCTATTAGTCACAATCAAACATGCCTCTTCCCGTATAGGACATATGAGCTTTTTGTCCTATCTCTTCACTCCTTCACCTAGTGTCCCTGTGCTCCCTATCACACTGAGGGACACTGCTAATCCTTCCACCAGATTTCCTGTGGGGCCTCCGTGGGTTTAGATAATCCCATTTCAGGAGGTTCTCCTTGTGGAAGATCTGTCTTATGGTTCTTTCCCTTCCTGGACTTGCCAGATGTTATGATTTGGCTCATGTGCTTGTGAGTGTCTTTGATGGGTGAGAGAATGGGTATTAAGTCAGCTCACTCTGTCTTTCAGTGCAGAGCCTGGCTGCAAGGGCTAGAGGAATGCAACTCCTACTAGCATGGGAGCCCAAGATTTGCGTGGGGGGGGGGGGGTTGAGCCAAATAAATGACAGAAAGTAATCTGAAATAATGTCTGGCAATTGAAAGTAACCAAGATTATGTCTGGATGGATGGAGAGAAAAAGCTAGTTTGATGGGCAGAGTTACAATGGGGCTATAAATACCCAGAAAAGCACACTGTGTAGGGAAATACACAGACAAGTGGCATCCGATTTCAGCTTTTTGTACTCTGTTGGTTCCTATTAGCAGCCCTGTTGAGAGAAGTTGGAATTTATAGTACCTGATAGATGGATACAGTAGGAGTTCGGGTCAAAAGTGTTGCTCCCATTGAAATTCCTGCAATCCAGGAAGAAAAGGAATCTGTTTTGTTAGTGCTTCCTCACTAAACCTAAGGGAGATGTCAGCTCTTGTAAATGTATCACAGAAGCTGGGATAATGTCGGACAACACAGCTTTCTATTGCAAAATAAAGTCAGAATTACCTAATCTAGGAAACAACATGGGGAATGTGGAATTCGCAAGCGGACGGCGCCTGGGCTGGCGTTGCCTCTTAGAAGGCCAGCTCTGCACGTCAGTGCTGCTGGGCGCTGTCCTTGGGGTGTCCCAGGGACCCTGGCCAGTCAAGGACATTCTTGAAGGAGATTCCAATAGCCTTTCATTGTATGGCCATGACCTAGCACTTTAACGAACCAGTCAATGGCGTGTAGGTAACACCAAGGAGGATTTTAAGGGAAAAGAAGGATCAGGCAAGGTCAAGCCCAGGGTCACTGGGCTCTCCTGAAACTGGAACAGTTGGTCTGGTCTGCCAAAGGATTCCAATGCATCAGATGATTAAAGAGCCCATAATAGCTTCATGCTGTTTTATGAGGCAGCAGTCTGCTTCCAAGAGAATAAATGAAAAGGCTGAGGGAAGCCAAGTGAGAACAAGCTTATTCTCATTGACAGAAGCAAAATCCCCAAACACTAGTTAAAATCAAGTGTGTTGTGCTGACAAAGAAGGGAATGTGTAGGGGCTGAGGGAAGAGGATTCTGCCTGCCCCCAAACAAAGCAAGAGTCTTCGTGGTATGTGGAGAGGTGTCCTAAGATCGAGATTATTACCGGGTTATTTGTCAGGCTGGGGACACTTTACCTACCTGGCACTGCAGAAGGAAAATGTTCTTTCGCCCCAAATAAGTAAGGAATGAACCTCCAACAAAATGCCCTGATCTTCACAAGTCTGCTTGTGTTCTTTCCACACGTGATTTCTGCACTCACTACCTGCTGGGTCCGCCCAAGGCACTTTTATTTAAACCTAGAGTCCCCATTCTGGTCTGTTTCATGGACAGTTTTATCCAAAGGGGGAAACAGAGCCCGTATCCCTGTCCATGGTGCCCACTCTGGGAGGAATGACCTTTATCAGTCACTACCTGTCCTTTTGAGAAAAAGCATGTGATGTCACCAGTGTTCCCTCCTAATGAAGAGGGAGTCCCCAGGAAGCAGATAAGAAGAGACAGCTACAAAGAGACTCTCATCATCACATTAATAATTGAATTTTTCCTGTGTCCTGACTGGATGCCTGGGATGCCTGGTTGGTAGTGAGGGGACAATACTAAGCCTAGCCAGGGTGACATCATCTTTGTTACTGAGTCATTGCGCAGACAAGTATAAAGTTGTAATATGATTAGGAAGCAGGAAAGCTTCATTATCAGCTTTGCAAGAATCTTGAAAACAAACAAACAGAAACCTATGTCTTTGCGGGGGAAGGGAATATAAGGGAAGGAGGGAGGAAGGAAGGTAGGTTGGTTGGTTAACTCATTGAAGATCCCTTATCAGGACAGTCTGAGAAAGAGGACTAGGCTGAGAGAGGAGGGGTGGTGTGGAATTAACACTCTTAACTACCAGGATTTACTTTTGACCAGAGGCACTGTGTTGGCCGCTTTTCCCGTCAGAAGAACCCAGCCAGAGTGACTTCTGTGGCTCACTCTTCCTTTTGCCACATCATGCTTGAGGTGCATTATTTCTCCCGGTTCTATTTGGCTACCCGTGTCCTGATATAAAAAGGACCTGAGGTTCTCCAGGGTTGGGGGAATGCCCTCTTCATAGAGTGTCACCTTCACGGTCTCCAACCCAAGGGTTCCTCTAGGTACCCGTAACTGTATGAGACTTGCTGTGAGTGTCTCACAAGTTCCCAAATTGCTACTCTTCCTTCTGCACGAAGGCCCCGAGCTCGCTTCTGGGAAGAGTCAGACGTGGTTATCTCTCCCTCCGAGTCACATGGTCTCATGCGAGAACAAGGAAAGAAACATGGTGACAGTGGTCACAGAACATTGACAGGGGGCATGAAAGACACCTGACTTTGTTATGACATTTGGCAACCATGTCTCTGTGGCTGAAACAAATTGTTACGAGGAGTTCCTAGGTTCAAGTGCTGTGCCCTGGAGATGTGGGCATCATGTAAGGGCACGTTAGGATAGCTGGGAGTATGTTGCCTCAAAGGAAGGCTGAGAAATGATTTAGCGACTTTTGTGTAGCTATGGGGTGTTATTAGAACCGACAGTAGTGAGTGTCATTCTGTTTCTTCCTTTCTGTTGAAAACAGATCAGAAAGAGGGGCATGTGCATGGTTCAGTTGGTTAAGCATCTGCCTTCTGCTCAGGTCATGATCCCAGGGTCCTGGGATTGAGCCCCACGTCTGGCTCCCTGCTCAGCGGGGAGCCTGCTTCCTCATCTCTCTGCCCCTCGCCTCTCTAGTGCATTCTCTTTCTCCCCCTCTCTCAAATAAATCAATAAAATCTTAAAAGAAAACAGCTCAGAAGAAATCACCTTAAGAGGCAAGAAAAGTGGCTTAGGTTAAACAAAGGGAAGTCTTGGTTATCATGTTGTTAAACAATGGAAGAGACTCCCCAAGAGGATTTGGTGAAGAGGAAACTGGTCACCCACCCACAGCAAATGCCTTTCAGGGGCCCAGCCTAGCTGCAAGGGACAAAGGCCCCTCAGAATCCCAGTGAAGAGGTGGAAGGAAGATACCCAGAAACATGTCCCTTACTTTGGCTCTTTGGGGCTGAGCTTATTGGGGATTCCATTCAAAGTCTACACGGCTCACACACGCACATAGGACACCAGGCACTCTCTTCCTGAACAAGACTTAACCTCACCCTGCTGACTTGGCTAACAAATGAATGCCTTCTTTTCGTTGCAGGCAAGTCCCTTGGAAGAGGGGCTTTTGGAAAAGTGGTTCAAGCTTCTGCATTTGGCATTAAGAAGTCACCCACGTGCCGGACTGTGGCTGTGAAAATGCTGAAAGGTATGGGGGCCATAGCTTGGCTTTCAGCAGACTGGTTGTATTCCTAAAACCCTAGTGCAAGCTCGATAGGGCCTAGGAACAGATGTGGCTATTTCTAGCCATGTAAATGGTCTTCCGCTGCTGGAAGCAGGCTTGGCTTCAGGAGTTTTAGATCGGGCCAGTGAGAGCTCAGAATAAACGTTATAAATGAAACCATCCAGCACTGTCCACGGGAAAACGATTTCTGTCACCTCAAAGATCTTTCTCGTCTCCCATTGTGGCCTCTAAACTACCAGGGACCCAAGCTCACTGCAACCACAGGTTCAGAGTTTTGGAATGATCCATTATGACCTTGTAATGGGAAATTAGCGACCTTGTAATGGGAAATTAGCTGTGTATCGTAAATCCTGGAGGCTTGGCTGGGGCTTGAACTGACTATAAAGTATAATTATGAAGCTGCAATAATTGAGATCATCAGAACTCTTAACTATTTTATACTGTCAAGTCCCACCCACAAACATTTCCTCTTTAGAAATTAAAAAATATATATATCTTTCTAGTGTTGACAAATACTACCCCTCTCAGAAGCCCTTGGGAGGTGGAGTCACGTGACAAAGTGATTTATGACCCCCACAGGATAGATGAAAATGAAAATAGGTGGAAAGTGCATAACCCAGACTCCCCAAAGAGGCAGGTGTCTTTTTTTTTTTTTTAAAGATTTTATTTATTTATTGGACAGACAGAGATCACAAGTAGGCAGAGAGGCAGGCAGAGAGAGAGGAAGGGAAGCAGGCTCCCCGCTGAGCAGAGAGCCCGATGTGGGGCTCGATCCCAAGACCCTGGGATCATGACCTGAGCCAAAGGCAGAGGCTTTAACCCACTGAGCCACCCAGGTGCCCAAGGCAGGTGTCTTTTAAAATATGGAAAATACTTCATTTCTTCATTCACGGTGGAATTTTCATGTCTTTTTGACTCATTTGAAGATTCTAAAACCAAAAAGTACTGGAAACCCTGAAGGACATTTTTCTAGCTTTCCCAGCTCTCTGAGATAGGACCAGGGGATCCTGGGGCATGGGGGCCTGTGAGCCCAGCCAGGCAGATCCCTAGGAAAGGCTCCAGGAGAAACGACAGTCGCATACAGAGAACGAACGTATCCTTTCTTCCAGCATGGATGCCAGCATTACAAGACCCCATGAAATGATATTTTCTACCCCAAAAAGGCTGTCCTTGTCAGGCAAAGGCTTTGAAAAAGCTCTCCAAGGAACCTGACCGTTCTACCAGAAAGTAGCCGGGGAAGGAGTCTTAGACCCACGAATCAGGACTAATGCTTGAAATGGACTGCCCCGATGATGGCAGGCCTTCCTGTGAGATCCCCCGCCCTCCAGCACCCTGCCCCCACCCCAGCCCCAGATCTGAAGGGAAGAGGCATCACCACGTCCTCCGTGTGAGAAAGCACCAGACTAAGTGCTTTCATGTGTTAGGCTGAACCACATGAAGTTGCCATTTTTCTGATTTTTCTGTCTCCAACCTTGTGAGGTAGCTATCATTCTCCCAGTTGGTAGATGAGGAAACAGGGCCCATAAAGGTTAAATCATCTCTGCAAGGCCCCTCAGCTCCCCAGTGCAAAAGTCAGGGTTTGAGAGCAGCCCTCCCTCCTCCTCCCTTCCCCCTCATCACAGCGCTACACAAGAGGGGCTGCTGAGACCGGTCTCTGGGAAATGGCCCGGTGCTCCAAAATCCTTACATGATCCTAGCCCAAGTTACAGAGGCAACCTAATATCCAACCTTGAACGAAGTTGAAACTCCGTCTGGAAGCATCTGTTTCCTCAGCTGGTCCGGTTTCCCGGCTGACTACCTCACATCGTCTCCCCGAGAGGCGGGTCTGCTGCTCATGCCTGTCTGTCCTGGATCCAAGAGAACACCTGCCTGGAAATGGAACAATCCAGGCAAGGGAGCCTGGTTTCCCCACTCTGTGCCAAAGGGACATAGAAGCGGGCAGGGGCTGTTGAGTTTGAGGGGGACGATGCTGACTTGACAATTTTTAAAGGCCCAAAGAGTGTATTCTTCGCAATACAGAAATAGCAGGGCACGATATCTTTATAAATCCTCGTCTTTTTTAAGCCACAAGCCTTGATTTTTTAAAAGATGGCCAAATCACCCACTCCATGAAATTCCTAAAAACCATTTTCATTCAGCTTTTTTGCTCGAATTGGTTGGCCATCTGTTTCTAGGAGAAATTGAAAAGACAGAATGTCAGGGGTGCCTGGGTGGCTCAGTGGGTTAAAGCCTCTGCCTTCGGCTCAGGTCATGATCCCAGGGTCCTGGGATGGAGCCCCTCGTTGGGCTCTCTGCTCAGCGGGGAGCCTGCTTCCTCCTTTCTCTCTTCCTGCCTCTCTGCCTACTTGTGATCTCTGTCTGTCCAATAAATAAATAAAATCTTTAAAAAAAAAAAATGAAAAGACAATGTCAGACATAGGCCATGAGTCAGAAGCTCCTTCAAAGTGCCCTTGAGGCGGACCTTTAACCTTTTTTGGGCCTCGTGCCCATGTCTGAAATGAGAAAAGTGTTCATGGTGTTTATCTTTCTAACAAATATTTGTGAAGCATCTACTCTGAGCCAATCTCGATCCCATTGAAGAGATTCTAGAGTTTATCTGGTTATCACTTAAAAAATAATTTTAAAAAATGATTTGTGCTTGTGAAGTGCCATGCACATGTTCTGACCATTTCCCAGACTGTTCTACAGAAATACTCGCATCTGTGTACAAAGATTACATGTTGGCTATCTACTACAGCGTTATTTGTAATGGCAAAACACACACACACACACCCCAATTGGAGACAGTTCAAATGTGAAGAATGCTACAAGAATGGGAAAAGTCTCTGACATATTAAAAAAAAAAAGCAAATAAAAAAAAATACAGAGAGAGGATTCCATTTATGCAAACAAAACAAGAAGACCTTTAAGTGGGTATATGGGTTTATAAATACATAGAAGAAAGTCTAGGGAGATAAGTGGTTGGAGTGATTCTCACTTTTTACTCTGTATACATCATATTGTTAGAATATTTTACAAGATTATATGACTTTATTTTTTTTTAATTTTGTAAATGCCTTATAAGTTAACCAGTAAGAAAGACACCTCCCTGCCCATTCCCCACCACCACCACCAAAAAAAAAAAAAAAAAAAAAAAAAAAGAGCGAAAACAAACAGAACAAACTTAATTTAGGCTTTAGACTCTGCTAAAACTTAGAGTGATGTTGTTTATCTCTGCGAATGAAGTTGAAGTCAGATGCTTACGGATCCTTACAACTCGAGATAACCCTGCAGACTCCAGGGAGGAAAAGGTTATAGGGAGAAAATAACACATTGCAAAGATGTTTACAGAAGCAGCCATCCCACTCCTGCAGACCCCCGGTGCTCCTTCTTTGTAACTCTTCAAAGAGGGGAAAGTGAGAAAAAGAGGGGAGGTGTGGGCTCATCCCCTGTCTGGAAGACTCTTGCTGCGCCTGGTTCTGTGGGGCGGAAGCCTTTGGAAGGCGCCTCCACAAGGTGCCCAGCTCTGAGTCAGCGCATTGCTGAGCAGACCAGGTCCACCAAGAGGAAATGCCCAGTGACTAACCCCACCACTGCTTCTGGGCCTTTCTGTAATCAAAAGGATGTTGGCTCAGGAGGGAGGGAGTAATGAAAACAGTCTGGAGACCCAGTCTTTCTGCAGAATGTGGGGAAGTTAACGAAGCAACCGGCCGAGCATTGGCAAACATGGAGGGCAGGAATGCCGCCTCCAGCGGAAAGAGCCCCATTGTCCTGTCGCCCTGACTCTTCCTTGTTTCTCACACAGAGGGGGCCACAGCCAGTGAGTACAAAGCTCTGATGACTGAGCTCAAGATCTTGACCCACATCGGCCACCATCTGAATGTAGTCAACCTGCTGGGAGCCTGTACCAAGCAAGGAGGTAAATGAGAAGGAAGGCCCCCTCTTCCCTGTTCCCAGGCCGACAGCAGAGTTGGACATACAGCTCCTTCTCCCTGTTCCTCCTCACCTCCCGAAAAACGGCCTCTCAGTAGGTCCAGAGGAAACAATTTGTCCATTTATGAAAAGGCACTCCCATCCTAGAAATGCCTTCCTTGTACAGTTAGTTGAAAGGTTCTAAAGAGAAGGATTCCCTTCAAGACTTCCTTCCATAGGCTCCAGGTCAAGTGGAGAGCATTTTTGTCTGAGAACAGCTTTGAAGGAGTGTGGCTGGAGCTAAGGTAATGGATAGAAGAGTGAGCTTTCCTTGAAGTTTCCCATAAAGGAAGGAGTCACTACTGGTGGGATCTCAGGAGGAGGGGATGTGAGGGACCCCCAGAAGGGCCCTTCTCCTCAGACAGGTTTTCCTCTCTGGGGCAAGTGGCCGGGACAGGGCTGTGGTTATGAATCAGGGCTCCAGCATGTTCCTGAAGACCTGTCTACCTTCCCTTGTGGCAAGGTTAGCACTTGGGTATAGGTGTGTGATTACTGCTTTAGCCAGAAAGAAAGGTGCGGAACACCTGTGCAGTCAGTGTTTTCCAAGGTCAACAAACATAGTAGAAATGAAGGGTAGTCGGGAAGACACTACCTGTTCAGAGTAGCAGTGGGTACAGAAAGCAGGTGAGGGCTGGGAGGTTCCAACTAGAGTCCTAGAGACCCAGCCTAGGGTGCCTGCTTCTCCCTCACCCTTGGGAATGGACAAGTGACAAGCCATCTGTTTTCCTGCAGGACCCCTGATGGTGATTGTCGAATATTGCAAATATGGAAATCTGTCCAACTACCTCAAAAGCAAACGAGACTTATTCTTTCTCAACAAGGTAAGGAATTTGGGGGTGGAGGTTTAGGCTATGGTGGCATAAAGCAAGAGAAACCCACATTTTTCTACTAACCACTAAGCCCCAAACCCAATCTCTGCTCTTTCCTTCCATGCTAATACATCACACTTTTTGTGGGCAGAGCAGAGAATACGTAATCCCAGCATGTGCAGCAACAATTAGAGGTTAAAATTTTGAGTCATCTACCTGACTACCCATCCAAGCATCTTGAGCACTTTCTTCTCTTCTCTCTCTCCATATGTACATGGACACCCACCCAAAGCACTTAGTTACTTGTTTCTTTAAAGATGAAAGTAAGTATAATTGTCTCCATTTACTAGAGAAAATAAGGACTCAACTGAGTGATTTTGCCATGACATGAAGCCAGTGACAGGGCCCAGGAAATTATTTTCTCCTTTTGCTGTGCCCTTTTCTTCACCTTCCTCAGAGACTCACCACCCCTGTCAGCCCTGTGCAAACACAGAACCAGCCTTACCCACTAAAATAAAGACATGTAATAAAAGGAACATATAGGTTTAAGTCCTGAAGGCAGAGATTACTGAATGGAGGAATAAAACTTTGCCATTGTGACCCATCCTACCAGGGCTGTGTCCTTCTCTGCGCTGGAGCCGCCTGGGGAGCAAGGACTCAACATTATTATTACCTGATAATCAGCAGTGTTGGTAATGAGTCCGTGCATTGTGGTGATTAAATACGCAGACTCAGAATCAGACTTCTGGGTTTAAATCCTGTCTCTGTCACTGAAAATCTGGGACCTTGGGCAAGTTACTCAATCTCTCGGTCTCAGTTTCCTCCTTTATTAAATGGAGGTACTGACAGCACCGAAGTCATGCCATTGTTGACAGAATCACATTTTTCACTGAGTTAAGCACTCCAGACATGTTAATGGTCATTGTCACGATTGACCCACTGAGCGAGAAAGACTGGGAGAGTCCATCTTAATGCCACTGATCTATATGACCTGTACAATGGATAAAGTGCTACACATCCATGAATTACACCCATCTGTCACATAGTAGTCATAGAACATACAAATAAGAACCACCGGCCAGCTGGCCAGTTTTCTCATGCCTCCAACTTTCGCCCAACTGAAGACACAGGTGGTCTACCCGACTTGGAAACATTTATCGAGAACTTATTGTCTCCCATTTTAAACCATGCCATCCAATAGTTAGAATCTCGAAGCCGAAGGGGCACCTGGCTGGCTCAGTCAGTAGAGCATGTGACTCTATCTCAGGGTCCCGAGTTCAAGTCCCATGTTGGGGGTAGAAATTATTTAAAAAAAAAAAAAAATCTTGAATCTGAAAAGGACCTTGTGTTCAGCTAGTTCGTGCTCTCACATTATAGATGTGCCCAGAAAAGTCAAGTGAAAGATTGCCTTAAGGACACTCACTTATGCGGACGTGAAGTCTGGGAGAAAAGAGCCCCGCTTTCTTGACAACCGTGGCAAAGCTTTTCTGGTTCCTTACGCTGGATAAGGAAAGCGGAGTGGGGGCGGGAGGGGGGAAACACCATTAAGAAAAAGGGGAAAGTGGTGGCCTGGGTTGGGAGCAGTGCAAAATCCCCTCAATCCTGAAATTCTGGACTGGCTTCAAGAAGAACTAAGGCGGCAGCATACCCCAGGGACCTGGGCAGGATGGAACGTTTGGGTTCGTGCGTCCTTTGTTTAGAAGGCTCTGCTTCCTCCTCTGGCTATATTTAATGATTCACTCCCCTGTTGGTGGAACTCAGTGTTTTCATGGAAAACACATGGCTGTATTTCATATTTGGAACGTAAAGGAATATAAAGAGAAAGTGAAGGAAAAACTGAAAGCCTAAATAGAAATGGGATATTTCGTTTTCCAAATAAATGCAGCAGTATCTCTCAATACTATTTGTAATAAATTTACCACATTCTGCCAGAGTCTCGAAAGTTCCATACATACACCTTTATTTCACAGCGGTGGTTACCAGTAAGCCAAGCTGAATACAGCACTGATGGAGTCAAGGAGGGGGGTGAGGGAGCTTGAGTTATGACCCCTGCAGACATGTCCAGGGCTGGGACCCCTGGGAGGACGAGGATGAAGGCAGCCTGGAGAGCAGAGAGCATGGATTGTCATGGGCTGAGCCATGAGCAGACCTGTTGAGCACTTTCCTCCTCACACCCTTGCCAGTGCCTTTTCCCTGCTGCCTTGTGTTCTGACCCTGGGTCTTATGAAAAATCCAATTCCAGTCCCCAGCTGAGCAGAACCAACTCTAACTGCCTCTGGGAGACACAGTAACAAAGAATTACAGTTTACCTCTTCTCAGGTAGGTCACTTGGGGTGGCAGTGGGGGTCTACGCTGGGGCCTGCCTGTCCCCCGTGCAGGGCTCCTGGGGGCTATGGTAAAGAGGCAAGAGCCTGGTTACCTCCCACCCTGAGTTTGTCAGGGGGTCCCTGCGGTGGCTCCCTCCTGTCCTCTGCTTACTCCCACTGCGCCCTCTAGTGGAAGGATCTCTCCTAACGTGTGACATGTCTAGGGAGAGCCAAGCAAGGCTGTGCTGTGTGGCTGGCGAGTCCCAGCTCTGCCACTCCTGGCAGGTGCATCAAGCGCCCCAGTCCCTCTCAGCCCCTTCCTCAGTACTGACAGCTTGTGTGACTGAGCCAAGGTTTGTGCTCCACCAGCACATGGCCATGAGGCCACCGGGCACGCCAAGTTTGTAGTGTCAACAGTTACCAGGTGAATTACCAAAGATGATAAAAATATTTTCCAGTTCCACGTGAACACTCAGAACCAACACATCCTTTCCTAGGAGACCAAATATCATAAGATAGAGCTTTTCTAGGGAGGAAAATGAAACCCCAAAATGGAGGTAATTTGCCCCATATCACATAATTAATGAAAGAGCCAGATTACACACCAGGGCTTGGATGCCCAGTCCAGGATGAAAGGTCTTCTGTACTCTTACCAGGATTCAGCTGGATCTTTGTTCTGAATGGGGGGGGGGGCGATACAAAGAAATGGTCGTGTTCCCTCCTTCTCCAAAGATACTAGAGAAATCGATAAGTACGGCCGTCTCTCATTACTCACAGGCATTATGCCAAGGGAAACCCCAAGTCCACTAGGGGTTCGTTTCTATTATTTGGATCATCTTTCACAAGGTGGCATGCGATATGGAAAAAGTGGTTAAAGGCATCGACTGGAATTGGCCAAAGCTGGGTCCAAGTGTTGCCATTTACTACTCGCACGTGACTTTTATTATTTGCCTCCTCCGAACCTGTTTCTTCCTGTCTCAGCAATAACTACTTCATAAAATTGTTACAAAGACTAAATGAGAAAATGTCCCTAAGAGTCTTAATATACTGGTGACCCTGAGCAAGCACTCGGTGAATACCAGTGACTGTTAATATTTCTTTATCGTACTTAAGATGCTATCTTGAAATCCACTCGAAAGCCCAACAGACTCCAGAACCCCATGAAGAGCCAGACATCTGAGCCCTAGGGCCCTTGCCACCAATTTACCACCCATCTTGTGCAAGGACATTCTCCCAACTCAGGCGCCCTCCCCTAGAGGGATTAGTTTCCCCCATCGCTGTTCTGAAACTCTCTTTCCTCTGTGTCCCTTCTCGGTTGGTCCAAAGGACGCCGCATTACACGTGGAGCCTAAGACAGAAAAAATGGAGTCAGACCTTGAACAAGACAAGAAACCAAGACTAGATAGTGTCACCAGCAGCGAGAGCTTCGCAAGCTCCGGGTTTCAGGAAGATAAAAGTCTGAGCGATGTTGAGGAAGAGGAGGGTAGGTATTAATTCCTTCCTGTCCTACAGTCTGAGATATTTTTACAACATACTGTGCATCTCTGACATTTTTTTATTTATCACCCTAATAAACATCCGTGGGAGACTTGAAGGGTAATGTCCTGAGGAGATAAGATTTGAATTAAGATTATTTACAGAGTTACTAATTTTGACAGGGAACTGTGCAATTGTCTCCCCTCAGGGCTTTTTGTCCAAGCGGATCATCCCCCAGCCTCCACCCCATGCTTGGGGAGAATGGGCTGGAGGCCTGGAAAAATCTCTGATATTCATGTTGAAACTCCAATGCTCTTAAAAATGAACTCTGATCTACTTGTTGGTTTTATGTTTTGCTAACATTGTTCCAATAAACTGGGATTTGGTGGAATAACAAGAACCATTACAAACAGTTACGGTTTTAATGTTTTCCAGACTCTGATGATTTCTACAAGCAGCCCATCACTATGGAAGATCTGATTTCTTACAGTTTCCAAGTGGCCAGAGGCATGGAGTTTTTGTCTTCCAGAAAGGTCAGCCTTGCCTTTTACTGCTTTCCTTCTTTGCCAGGCCCAGATATGTGGACATTCTATGGACCCACGCTCACCATGGCTCTAAATCTGCCCTTCCTAGTATTTGCTTAGACTTATGTAGAGGAAACATCACACCAAGTGCCTCTATTTGTCCTGATAGGGACAGAGGAGCCCCAGATACCCATGAGTAGACCTGGATTCCAGGGGAAAATCTCCCCAGGCTTCAGACCAGACAAACCTGGCCACCACTGACCACATTGCCCTCTGGTGTGTTTTCAAAACTGGCCAGAATTTCAGAATACACAACTTCCTGGGAGAGCTGCTGCTTAATTCATCCACATGGAGCACGCCACGAAGTGGCAGCCAGATCATGATCTGACCTTGATGGCTCAGAACTAAAGGTGGGGGCGGGGGTGATGGGATTTTGCTCACTGGGAGCCATCGATGGCCAGCTCGGTTTACCAGGAACGCTGTCCTGCCAACCAGTGGCAAAGTGGACTTGGGGCATTTTGTGGCTTTGGGGCCTAGCGAGGGGTAGGTGGGTGCCTATATATAAAGAAACGCCTTTGTGTTTATGGTCACCCCGTGGGCTCTGGAAGTTGCTTCCTTCATGTAAAGGAAGCCTGTGAAATGGATCCTCCAATTAAGAGGAATTAGGACACTGAAAAGGCACAGGGCAACGGTGGGTCAGATTAAGGAAACGCAGCGATGATGTAAATGTTTCGTTCTAGTGCATTCATCGGGACCTGGCAGCAAGAAATATTCTTTTATCGGAGAACAATGTGGTGAAGATTTGCGATTTTGGCCTTGCCCGGGATATTTATAAGAACCCCGATTATGTGAGAAAAGGAGATGTAAGTCAGTGTGGTGTTTCTTTGACTCATTTATACCCTGTCATCTTTAAACCACAGACCAAAGCCCTGGGTAAATATTTACATACTCCCTGCAAATATGCTTTCTGTGCAGACGCGCAGCCCAGATGGGCTGTGTACCAGAGAGCCCTCGCGAGGGGCTCAGAAAGACCCCCGTCTCCTGGTTCTGTTCTCTCCCCCATTGCTGGCTTGGTACCTTTCGGGCAGCACTGCCAGAGCCTGGTACCCCGAGAAGTGTTCAGTCCAGTGGGGGGCCTGGGAAGACCCCCCCCTTGTCGCCCCCCTTTGACTCCTGTGGGAGTTCCCTGTACTCTGTACAGCTGGAAGGAACAGCTTGGACTCTTTCCCTCAAATAAACCCGGGTGATTGATTCAGCAGGTGTGGATAGCTCAGGAAAGGGTGGGGGAGGGTATCAGTCTTATCTCGAGGAGGAGGAAATGGTTTACCTCCCATGCCTGCCTTCCCACCTAGCATCTCCCTGCTGGCTCCCACTGGCTTCTCTTCCCCGCTTGTTTTTGAACAGAGTGTTATTTTTCACCTTTGTGAGTGACCTCCTGTGTCCTCTCTTCTCCAGCCGGAGGGCTGAAGCCTATGTCTGGGCTCTGAGGAGGACTGAGGGAGCAGCTCTCCAACTTCACGTCGCCTGGAGGGCTTATGAAACCATAACTGATTGAGCTCTGCCCCCCAGAGATTCTGATGGGAGTCGTGGGTGGGGCCTGAGGGTCTGCCTTTCTAACCAGTTTCCAGGTGCTGCAGACACAGCTGCTCCCGGGACTAGACTTTGAGAACCACTGCTCTACACTCTTCTTATAAAAGGAGAACACCAAATCTGCCTCGGGAGCGCTCATTTCGGAAGTCTGTCCCTATTTTCTGTCATCTGTCTCTTCCAGCCTCTCCTACTTCTGTTTCTCCCGCCCCTCGCCGAGATCCCATAGTTCCTGTCAAATCCCACCCATCTGCAGTGAAGGCCTAACCCTCCGGGACTCCTGCTGTCTGAAGAGATGGAAGATTTGTCCGTACGCTTGAAAACCAGCCAAACGGTCTCTTCAATGATCTCTCACCTTCCTTCCTTCCAACGCCTTTGCCCGCTCCCCGATTCAGTGACTTCTAGAATCCTGCCTTTCTCACACAGGAATGCCTTTCTACATCCTCCTTCTTAAACACCAAAAACCAAAGCCCTGAAAATCGTCGATTTTTCTGGATGTGTCCTAATTCAGATCAGCCTTTGCCAGGACACCGTAGAGCACATGCCTTTTAGGGGAGAAAGGACTTCCAGAATCATGGAGGGAGGACAGGCTGGATATGTGGGTGGGGCTCACCAGACACTGTCCACTCTAATAGTGTGACAACACGTGTTATGAGAGTTTCCTCCATTTTAGGAAACCATAGCTGTTCTAGGAAATGATTTGTGGGCCACGTGTTATCTGGGAGGTGACTCTATGGGCGCTTGGGTTGAACATGCTTTGTTTCCAGTCCTTCTGCTCAAGGCCCCCCGCCCTTTTCTAGACTCGACTTCCTCTGAAGTGGATGGCTCCCGAATCTATCTTCGACAAAATCTACAGCACCAAGAGCGACGTGTGGTCTTACGGAGTTCTGCTATGGGAAATCTTCTCCCTAGGTAAATCTGGGGGGACGGAAGGGAGCAAAGAAATGGCCCAGAACCAAAGGTCTGCATCCTCTGTTGAGTGTCCTCCTGATAGACCTACCCTGAGATCAGCTTCTAAAAGACGCCTGGGTCCTTGTAGGAGCTCCCATGAGGACGGTGCATGCATGAGTGCCCTGTACTGGGAGGACACTCTGTAGGAACACACATGGGGCTGGGGGGGCGCCAGCATCACATCTGCAGGTCTGACTACTTTCCCTCTCCTTCGCTCCTTCTCCTAATTCCTCAAACCCCCCCAATTCCTAATGCCTTGCTCCTTTTCCCCCTGCATCACCCTCCCCTCTTTAGAAAGACCCCAGCAAGCTCAGCTCACCCGGCATCACTGTTAGAAACGGTCCGCAGCTCGTTTCTAGGGCGCAGCTGGCCCTAGATGCTGGTTTACCCAGGATGAGCAATGGGAACACGGTTGCATTTATTCTGCTTCCGATAACGTCCATGCTGGGTGGTGAGAAGCCCTGTTTGAGGCCCCAGGCACACAGATGTGCACAGGGCCCACATCTGCTCGCAGACACACACTGATGCTCCAAGGCCTCCCAAGCGTGGGGTCTAGCCAACAGTCTTTTGGACTTTGCCAAAAATTTGCCTTTCAGAGCAAATAAAAGTCACCCAGTAACATCCCTGGTTTCCTGTAATGTGTGAAAATCATTCCCCTGCTTTCGATGACAGACACCTGTTGCTTCCAGTCCTTGAAAGCAGCTTGGCGTCCGCAGTGGCCCCACAGTGACACAGGGCCAGTGCCGCACGCCTCCCAGCTGCTTCCTACACACTAGAAAGTGCAGACAAACACATGTTGAGAGAGACTAGATGCTAGGTCTGCAGCAGAGCCGGCCGGGAGGCGGAGTTGCCCCCAGCTCCAGCCAAGCATCCCCCTAAAAGGAAGGGTCATGTGGGTCTCCTGGATGGGAGAACTGGCGGAAGGCAGAGTCTGGGCCCCGCCTTGGGCACACTCCAGCCCACAGACACCCTACCCCGTTCAGCATCACCCTGGAGCTCAAGTCCCCCTTCCCTTGGGTTGCTCCCCGCAGCATTCACAAGAGAGTGCTGAAGTAAAGCATTCTCCCTGAAGTGTGAATGACCCATGACTGTCCAAGCCCAGGTCCACTGGGGTTTTAAAAAGATTCTCAGTCACCCAAGGTAGGAGTCTCAGATGACGGGCTTTCTTGAGAGTTCCTTGTTGGGGAGGGGAATGCCTTGCCGAGGACACCCCTTCTCCTGACATGGGAATGGCCTGTGGGCCTCCGACAGCCAGCACCACAGGACCCACCAAGCAAGCCTTGGTACTGGCTGGCCAGGGTCTGCAGAGCCTCTCCACAGGTGATACTGGCTGTGGAGATCCATCCCATGGGGGATATGGTCCTAAGCCATCAGTTGAAAGAGAGGAGGCAGACATGAACTCGCTTCCCGCCCCGTGGTCTTCTGCACCCTCAGCCATGACAAGCCCTGTGCTTCCCGCGCTGTCTCCCACAGGTGGGTCTCCATACCCGGGTGTGCAGATGGACGAGGACTTCTGCAGCCGCCTGAAGGAAGGCATGAGGATGAGGGCCCCTCAGTACGCAACTCCTGAAATGTGAGCCCCCCACGTGCTCCCTCCCCCATCCGACCGCACTCTCCCCACCAGCACACCTCCGAAAGGAGACGTCCTGCTGACGTTCAGCCCCTCTGAACGTGCTGGGAGTACTTGCTGGAAGTGGGACACATTATCCCTGACCTGTGCCTCCCTATTTCCCCTCTTGAGCACGGACATGACTTTTCAAGGCCATTAGCTGGAACTGAACTCAGAAGTTGAGCTTCTAGGCATGAACGCAGGCACAGTGAACAGACCACCCAGGCACAGAACACATGACTTTGTCCTCATTCCCAAAGAGGGAGCCAGATGAGCTAAGCAGCCTGGGGGACGGAGGGCTAGAAGCCACTATGGGCCAGCCAGTCCTCCATTCACGCCAAAGACCCATGACAGGTTTTCCTGTGGAGTTCAGGGGAAAAGGTGCAGAAGAGGGAAAGGGGACTCTCCCAAATGAAGTGGTAATCATTCTCCCCAGAAGGCTCTGTGGGCATTGAGACTTCTCAAGACTCATTCTAGGAATTAGCAGCTCTGTGGAACTTCTTGAGGGGGTCCCCACTTACGGTCCTAGAGTCTAGGCTCCGCATGGAGGCATTCTCCGCCGTGCAAACGCTTGCTGGCCTCCCTCAGACACCCTGCTGCCCCTGAAGCTTTGTGGAGGTTTTGCGCTTTGAGGCCTAAGCAGGAACGGGATGACACCAGGCAGTTCCGTCCAGCTGCTGACAAGGACTCGGGCTTTCCTGCGGCGGCACCACCTTTTCTGAACCGGCAGGCGGCCCTCCCTGTCCTACCTGCACAATGGGGTCTTGTCAGAAGCCCTGGGATGGCCTTTGGGGAGGAGTCAGAGGGAATAAAGGAAGTGTGGGCTTGGCCAAAGCTCAAGGTTGCAGTCTCTTTCCTTAAGCATCTGGAGACAAGACTAGGTCAGGCCCCGGATCGGGGATGGGGGGGAGACTCAGGGCCTGTGAAGGCAGCGCCGGGGAGGAGCATGAGTGCAGAAAGGAGCTGGGGCGCCTGTCTTGTCAGGCTACTGTGGGGTCTGGTCAGGAAAGTCCGGAGACCTTGACGCAGGGCTAGATTAGCCCCCAGGATGACATTTGGGCTGCGGAGCCTGGAAGGTACAGAGAGCTTTTAATCGCTTGCTTCCTTTTGCTTGGTGGAGAGAGGCAACCACCGGGAGATCTGGAGTGAAATGAGATTACTTTGCACTTTATGGTTTTCTAAGTGTTTCCCCCACACAGTTCCATCGAAAGCTCCCAGAAATCCTTGAGAGGCAAATAGGCAGATGTTATAATTTGAATTTGATGAGTAATGAGACTAATCCTCTCAAAAGTGATGTGTCCTCCATTGACTAAGTAGCAGAGGAGACGGTTAAAGGCCTGTCTTTTAGATGGATTTCCCTACATCCCAGGACTGTTAAATTAGAAATATACCCCCACATTCCTTAGGAAAAAAAAGGTTTCTCTAATGTGTCCACTCATGCTTTGAATATTCCTTCCACTTTTCGTATAACCTAACAATCACGGAGTGCCTGGGTGGCTTAGTTGTTAAGCGGCTGCCTTCGGCTCAGGTCATGATCCCAGGGTCCTGGGATCAAGGCCCACATCGGCCTCCCTGCTCAGCAGGAAGTCTGCTTCTCCCTCTCCCTCTGCCCTTCAGCTCCTGCTCTCTCTAATAAATAAATAATTTTTAAAAATCTGACAATCACAAGACTAGTTCTCAACTAACTGTAATAATAACTGAGTAACATTTAATAACTGAGTAACATTTAATATTTTTTAAGTGTTTAAGATATTAAGTGCTTAAGTGCCAGGCACTGTTTTAAGGGTCCTTGAACACATACTAACTTACCTAATGCTCATAATCACCCTACAAAGTAGGTACAATTATTCACACCATTTCACAGGTGAGAAAACCAAGGCACAGTATACCTAAGTGGTCTGCCACATGGCTAGTAAGTGTGTCTGAGCCCAGAGTCCACAACACCAGGCTACATGCTTGCAGGGTCTAATACCTGTCCAGATTCCAGTCCAAAAGGACAGTAGAGGTACAAAGTCATATCAGCTTTGGGCTGAAAACCCCCTTGGACTTTATCAAAGCTTTAAGTCTTCACATGAACCACTCCAGGAAACCCCTGAAAAACCATGCAGCCTGTAGACAAAATGATGGTTCCTCAATGCTGGGAAGTTATAGAATTGGTGAAAAGCAGTGGCTTTGTGAAATGTGTGCGCAGAAAGCTAGAATCCAAACCTTCAGCCATTCTCAAGCGTTCGAGAGCTGGTGGCGTAACTCACCTTCTTGTTTGCTCCACAGTGGGAAGGCCTGGGTAGAGGACAGAGTACAGCTCTCAGAACTGGCCCCTGTGACCTGAACTTGGCCTAAAGTGGCGTGCACTTGGGGGCTTGGGTGATAGTTGAACAGGAAGCCCTTCCCCCAGCTGGTTTCAGGGAGGGCTGTTGGGGTGGGTGCAGCTCGTGTCTCTTTACTGTGCTCAACCTGTTTACTTAGTGATGTAAACGGTTCGACCCTGAGTGGCTGGTTCCTTGCCCAGGGCCTGTTTAATCAGATGTCTTTCAATAAGGAAATAAGCAATGAATGTTTTGATTTTTTTTTTTCCTTTTCCTTTGGTGTTTGCAGAGATGATTTGCATTGGATTTTAAGCAAGAGGCATGGAAAGTAGAAATCAGAAACCGAGAATCAAAATAAAAACAGCAAGTAGTTGTAGGTGGTCCCTTCTGCTAGTTTGGGCTGAGAGAAGCCAGGGAGAATCCTGTTCACGGCAGCGTTTGGCCCAGCAGGGAAAGGGTACGGACTGAGAGAAGCCAAGGCTCCCAACAGGACTATCCCCCTTTTTTGCCTGGTTCAAGCCTTTCTTGCTTTGGTTACCTTTTATACATTATCAGCATATACACTGAATGTCCTTCCAACAGCCTCCAGGACTGCCTCGGCCTCAGGCTGGGAAGATGGAAGCAGGCCAGCATTCATTACATCACAACCAGTGCAGCCAGGGGATGTGGGACCACGGGCTTTGTCCAGTGACCTCCTGTCTCCTTGGTAAACGTTTTTGCACCCAGCTCAAAACTTTAGTCAGCCGTGTAAACTTAGTAAACCGTGAGTTCCACATAGGATCGGGCAGATGGTCTTAGGCCCCTTTAGACCTCTGGCCACTAGCAGGTTGGCCTGGGTTTCCTGAACAGAGCAAGTGTCCTGAGCCCTGGCTCGGAGGCTAGTGGTCAGGGATAGTCAGGGGCCTTGGGCACTGCAGCCCCTGGCCTAGGTCTCCCAGACAGTGGGGACAATAGGCCCCAAGTTGGAGAGCCTGTGTTCCCCCTCCTCACTCTCAGTCTCCTGTGTGTCTGCAAACTGAGCCTCGTAGAGTGGTCCTTGACATTGGCCTTCCCAGCTTTTGGGACCCACTGAGCCCCACCACACCCCCTGGAAGTTAAGTAAAATGGGTACAGTAGATGAAATACACGGATGAGAGGGAACCAGAGCCATCTTCGGAGAAGAGCCTTGACCCATCAGTTTGGACAAAGTCAGGAGAATCTGTGATTCAGACAAGTGATCCTTAGGAGCCCCAGTCCCTTAATCAAAGACTTAGTGCTCATTGGGCACTTGAAAGTAGACGCTCCACTCCACCATCTAGTAGAGGAGCTTGCCTTTGAAGACCAGTACCCATGGAGGGTGTCCAAAGACCACATGGGGCCACCCCTGCCCTGGGGACCTGAGGAGACACAGCCCGGGCCACAGTGTCTTGCCTCTCAGAGTCGTTTCTCCAGAGTGGTACTTCTGTTCAGGCTTTGGCCAACACTGAAGAACAAGGTACAAGACAGTCCCACGAAGTTGTTATTTCCTAGATGGAAATGACAGTGTCGAGAGGCAACTAGGACAGCTTCCTTTCGGATTTCAGTTCTAGGAACAGCCAGTCTTCTTCCAAGTATCTGGTCTGTTTTTAACTTTTGCCTTATGTGCATCACATAGTTACTCCTCCTCTTCTCCAGCTGCCCGGAAGCTCGGAGCACTGCCTCAATCCCCCTCCTCAGTCAGGATATATATTTTGCAGATTAGCCTTGCTAGGTCTTCCCAGAGACCAGTCTGACTTCACATCAGATACTGGAGTACTTTTGTGGAAGGGCCTGAGCTAGGTCAGGGGTGTGGAGACGTGGTCCCTGCCCCCATAGCACCAACAGCCAGGTTCTGATCCGGTTCAAAATTCTGAGGCCATTCGGACTTCGCTCCGACTTGGTCAGAGACCTCTCTAGCCGATGATCTTCTGAGAGAAGAGATTACAAATAGTAAACAGCTCTCAAGGAGAGCCAAGAGCCCAAGGAGGGTAAATGTCCAAGCCTCCGGCCGGTGTTCTGCAGAGGGGGCGGGGCAAGCTGAGACCTTCATTCCTTCCCGCAAGACCGAGAGAAGAACCTAATACCTTTCCAATCTCCAAGGTCAGAGAAGACTTGTAGGGGAAGCCTGTTGACGTTTAAATCCCAGGACGTGATCTAGCTTCTGTGAGATTAAGACAAACATGTCCATCCCTCACTCAGTCTGTACCTAGCGCCTTGAGAGGGGAGGGAGGCCCGCTGGTGACGGCGGCTTTGAAATGCTGGAGCTGGGCAGGGGCGGGGCGGAGCCACATGCAAGAACCTGCAAGCTGCCCAAGGAATGACCCATACTCTACATAAACGTTCACCTTCCAGAAGGACAGGGGTCCTGTAAACAATGCCTTCTCCACCCATCTCCACTGCTGAGCTCCATCATGGAGCCATGAGGCCGTGGACACACCACATGCTCTTAAAAAAAAAAAAAAAAAAAAAAAAAAAAATTGGCTCAGGCTTCTTAACAGCCTGAGACTAGAAGTACTAGGAACAATTTGCTCATGGATATTGGGGTCTATGTGAGCTTTTACCTTTAAGGGACATCGCCCTGTTTTTGAGAGTGAGGGGAGGCACGCACCACTGCACAGCCAAGTGCAAGTCCATGGTGGGGCTTCCTTTCGCAGGAGCCCAGCTTTATTCAAGAAGAGCTCGTGCCTTCCCTCCTGCAGAAACGACCAGCACGCCAAAGAACCTGGGTGGCGATGGGCTCCGGAGGGTTGGTTTGTTAGTCTGCCTTTGTAGACGTGTTTCCCACTACTACAGGACCTGGTCCCAGCAGCCTTGCATGGGAGGGTGTGGCCTGTCCACGTCCAAACGCGAAGGCAAACACGATATGCTACAAGAAGCCTAGTCTGGGTCTACGGGACAACATGCATCACTTTGCTGACGGGTATGGGGCAATTTACACCATTACCACTGGTCTTCAGCTAGTTCTGTTGTGCTTTCCCCCTGACAGCTACCAGATCATGTTGGACTGCTGGCACAAAGACCCAAAAGAAAGGCCAAGATTTGCAGAACTTGTGGAAAAGCTAGGCGATTTGCTTCAAGCAAACGTACAACAGGTAAAGCTGAGTTTATCTCGCATATGAGAAGCCTCAAATGCCTTTGAATAGAAGTCTAGGGGGTGTTTTTTTTGTTAAGAGCTATTAATAGCAGAGATTAGCAGTTAAGTGTGTGTGCATGTGTGCGTGTGTGTATGCACAATTATCTTCCCAAAACACAACAGAGGTGGCAGAAATGACACAGCTGAAGCTGGCCTATTTCCCAGACATGGGTTGAAATAGAAATTTGTATAATTAGAGTTCTATCTTTGGTATTTTAGGACGGCAAGGACTATATCCCATTAAATGCCATACTGACAGGAAATAGTGGGTTCACATATTCACCTCCTGCCTTCTCTGATGACTTCTTCAAGGAAGAGATTTCACATCCAAAGTTCAATTCAGGAAGTTCTGATAATGTCAGGTAAGATTTCTTTCTTTCCCCAGTCTTAGAAAATTTTCAAACATTAGACAAGTCTACCTCCTAAATTCAGCTGTAGTTAACATTTTGCTCTATTTTGTCTCTATGTATAGACTTTATAGGTGTATTTTTTTCTTTTTGCTGAACTTAAGGCATTATAACATTCTACCCCAAAATCTTGAAAGAAGGTCGTTCTCCTGTGTTGCCACGTCAAAATGATCACACCAAAGAAACAGATAATTCCCTTATTAAATATTCCTATTTCCTTAATTTCCCCAAATGTCTTTTATACCTTAAGAAAAAACAAAAGACAAACACAGTATCCAATCAAGAATAGCACATTACATTTTCTTCAGTTTTATTCTAGAATGCTCCTACCGCTTTCTTTCCCTCCCCATAATTTTTTTTTTTAATACAGCCTTAGATTAAACTTTTTTTCCCCCCCTTACTTGACACACTAGCTTATCTCTCATTACTGCAGAGGAATTTGAAGAGATACAGGGGAACAATACTGATTTAGTGCCTCTACTGTGGGGGCAGGACTTGGCTCTTGGGTACTAATGATTACACGTGTATCACACATGTTTGGCACAAGTGGTTACACGTGTATCAGCACATCCTTAGTAGGAGTTGCACATGCATCACACACCAGTCCTAATAGTACACGAGGATGTTCACCACTGCTAACGGTTCCACGTGTATCATACGCATTTGGTACTAATGGGCACACAGACACACGCTGTGTGTGGCCTGGCCCTGTGCCCGGCTCTTTGTGAACATCAATTCCTTTAATGTTCTCAACAGTACTCTACAGTAGGTATTATTAGTCCTGTTACACAAACGGGGACATTAAGGCTCCATGGCAGATGACTTGCCAAAATGGTACGTCTAGAAAGTGCCAGATTGGAGTTTGTAACCTAGGTGGTTGGATACTCTCTCCCTGTTCCCATGCCATCAGAGCAGTTTCTAGAATATTTAGACTATCCTGTGGGCCTTGTGGCATCTAGGCACAACCCTAGAGCTTTGACCCCAGTTCAGCCAAGGGATGCACGGCTAAGGGTTGGGGCAGTCTGAAAGGACCGATAGCCATCTCTGACAGGCCTAGAAGGCCAGCCCGGATCTGTGGTCATGGGTTATAGGTCAGTGGTACCTGCTTACACTTCCCAACCAGCCCAAGAGGCTGACACAGATGAATCACCCTTTTTTAAGATTAAAAAACCAGCGGGGATGAGCGATATCTGATTGTATCAGAGGTGGGGGAGAGAAGTTGTCAGTTATTTTTGCCTTTTTAGGATGCTGCTTAGCCTTCGGCCAATAACTAGCTTAGCTAAGAAATTCGGCCTTACAGGTGATGATGGGGTTTCAGATGGAGAAACTCAGTCTGTAGGTGAACTTGCCTTAGGAGGAAGCACATAGCGCAGCTCTCTGCAGCCTTCCTAATGGATCAGGATCATCAGCAACAGACCAGTAGTTATAGGAGAAAACACAAAAATACTACCCATTTCTCCCAATCTGGAACCCCAAAACAGAATATACAGGACTAGCTGTTAAATTAGCTATGTGACCTTGCAAGGTCATTTCCCTGATCTCCTCACACCCTTTGAGAAGTAGGCAACTCTACGTGATCAAGTCCTATCCCTTCTCTGGGCATCATTTCTCTCCTTTATAGGATAGGGTGTTGAGACCGTGTGAGGATTCAGGTTTCTTCTAGGCCTCACATTTCTCCAGTTCCACAAGGGACTGGAAGCCCAACCACTGAGGAGTCTCTCAAGGGTCCCTCTGGGGTTTTGCTCAAAACTATGCAGTGTGGATTGACCACCATGGGAAGATCCTGAGGGGGCACACAGCAGGAGACCTTCAGCCTCAGGAGCCAGGGGATTTCTGGGCGACTGTGGTTTACCTTAGCTGGGATACAGAGCCCGTAGTCTCCCAGCTAATAAAAGCTGGATGCATTTTCCAGTCTTGACTATTCTTTCTGCTTCTTCATCAGATACGTAAATGCTTTCAATTTCATGAGTCTGGAGAGAATCAAAACCTTTGAAGAACTTTCACCAAACACCACCTCTATCTTTGATGTAAGTAATGGGATTCACATACTCAAGGCACCATGCCAGGACCCTTTTTGCGGTCTCTATCCAAACTCCAGTAGTCTGGTGGCTCTCAGTCCATAGGGGTCAGTCAAGAGTAGTGGCGGAAATGACCATTTCAGGGGAGTGACAAGACTTAGCTATACAGAGCTAACTTGAAAGCAGGTAATTCTATAGTTTGACCATGACCCCGAATTCACTCCAGGACCACGTCTTCACCTGGGCATAGTTGAGTCCCTTAGGAAACCTCATAGTGTGTTTCTAAGTTTCTTGGCGATCAAAGATGGAATCCTGCTTTCAGATTAATGGAGGAACTCAAAGCTGTGAGTGGCTGGGTCTTCAGGATCTAACAGAAAGCTCTCCCTTAAGAATAGCCTTGCGGTCCTGAGAGAAGTCGACCCAGGCCTCATGCTCCTTCCCACTGAGGCTCTAGAAGCTAAACAGCCACAGTCCTACCCAGCCACACTGAGAGAAAACAGTGCAGCCTGGCAAACACAAGGCTTTATCCAGCTTGTCCCTCTGAAAATCTGGGACGTGAGGTTAAGAGAGTAAAGGGAGGAGTTGGGGGGGGGGCTGGGAAGGAGTACCCCTCTGCCACCAAGCCCCTGACACTTGAAGTGTGATCTCCAGATAAGCACCATGGTCACTAAGTGGGCTAGAAATGCCAAGTCTCAAAACCCATCCAGACTCACGGAGTCAGACTTTGCCCTGTCACAAGGTCCCCAGGGGACAGATGTGCATGGCAAAGTTTGAGGGCACTGGTAAGGCCCAGGTCCCATGAAAGGGCTGGGAAGCCCACCCCCGTGGGAAGGGGATGACTGCAAACACTGTGACCTTGAGACCCAGCACAGTCATCATTTAGAAAGCACCAGGAGAGTTTCAAACACACTAGAGAGGAAAAGATGACTGGAACACTTAAAAGCATTACAACTAAGCCGCAGAACACAAAAGAAAAGTAGCTGGAAATTTTGTTTTTCTGCTTCTTAAGCCGGCTTTAAGTGCCAGGAAGTGATGCTGAGCCAAACACGGAAGATTTCTGTCCACCTTACCCCTTCCCAGCCCAATACAGTGGGGTCCGCAACAGCTCCTTTGCTCACTTAGGCTTGCCTGCTGGTGAGTACACACATGAACACAGCCCTGTCAGAGACTCAGAGGGACAGAGTGTGGAGTCCACACACTGGGAATGCAGAGTATGCAGGAGCCTGCCTGGGACTCCACGCTAAAGCTGAACCAAGGAGAAAATGGGATTGTTGCAAACCGTGACCATGGAGGGCCCCAAAATTCCATAGGGTCCACAAAACAAACAAACAAACAAACAAACAAACAAACAAAAAACCAGGTCTTTATAACGTCTCGCAGTGTTTGCATCTTAGGTAGGCCCCAAATAGCTGCATACTCACAGACAACAATCCTCTGCCATAATTCGCTTTCATAGCTGTATACAATCATTTGCATCCAAGTTTACTTTGAAAAATGCTCTCCTGTTACCTGCAGCTTCCCCTTTTGTTTAAAGGTATTTTTGTCACCTTCAGGAAGAAGGACCTCAAAGTCACAGGGTCTTGACTGGTAGGTTTCACAAGAAACATAATAAGCGTTTCTTGCCACTGACAACACTTTGATTTGCGCATATGGAGAACGTGCTTGGTCTTAATAGGCAGAGGAGGACAGAGCTTGGAGTGACTTTGGACGTGCATCTCAGTATCACGCCCCCAGATCGGACCTCTCTGGGGTCAGCCAAGGAGTGACATCTGTTTCCTTCCTCCCTCCAGGATTACCAGGTGGACAGCAGCACCCTGCTGGCCTCCCCCTTGTTGAAGCGCTTCACCTGGGCTGAGAGCAAACCCAAGGCCTCTGTGAAGATTGAGTAAGGAAGCTGGGGGTCTTTTCTGTGACCAGCCGATGGGGGGAGGGGTGTGAAGGAAGATGCTGGGGAAAACTCAGTGGGGACATTCGAGGACCACTCACCCTCTTGAACTACAGTGCTCGGGCATTGCAGAAAAGCACTTTTTGCCCTCAGATGGGCAAGAAGGAGGGTATAAAAATCAGAGAAATGAGCACCAAGTACTGAGAAGGATTCGAGAAGTAGAAATGTGCGGACAATTCTAGCAGGACAGGCAGTCCAAACACATGAAACACAGTGTCTCAGCCGGAAGGAGCCCGATTCAAGGCCCAACTGAACAGTGCAAAAGTCAGATGGAGACATGCTTATGGGGGCAGGGAGGGCAGCTGGCCTGTGCTTATACCCGGGGCTGGCAGCATTGGTATGGGAAAGCACACGGTCCTGTTTTCCCAGCCTAAGACATGCCATCCTGAGAAGCCAACGCTTCCAAGAGAAGGCTGGTTTCCTGTTGGCTCCTGGCACCCGACCCTCCTTCTGGTGTCCATTGGCAAGTGCTGTTGGAATTACCTGGGCCCCAGCTTTTTACATGACCAGGCCTATCACCGCAGCTTCTCTGTGCTAGTCTCTACCTAGGGATCGTGCTGGACAGGCAAAGGCCTAGCTGATCTGTAAGGCATTCCTACCTTTCCCGACTCAATGCCTGCCCATCTCACTCAGAGGCAAAACATGCTCCTCTTTCCTCTCAACCAGGGGTCAGCAGACTTTTTCTTCAGGAGTCACATAGAAAACAACTACTTGGGGTGCCCGGGTGGCTCAGTCAGTTAAGCCTCTGCTTTCGGCTCAGGTCATGATCTCAGGGTCCTGGGATCGAGCCCCACATCGGGTTCCCTGCTCAGCAGAGAGGCTCCCTCTCCCGGTCCTCCTGTCCTGCTCCCCCTGCTCATTCTCTCTCTAATAAATAAAATCTTAAAAACAACAATAGTTACTCAACTCTGCCATTGTAGGATAAAAGCAGCCATCACCCATCTATAAACAAGGAGGTGTGGCTATGTTCCAGTAAACTTTACAGACACAGATGGTTGTGGCCAATGAGCGCATGAAAAGTTGCTTAAGGTCATGAGTCATCAGGGAAACGCAAATCAAAAGCATTACGAGATACCACTTCACACCCGCTAGGAGAGCTAGAACCAAAAAGTTGGCGTTGATGAGGATGTGGAGAAAGTATAAGCGTCGTGTGTTGCGGTGGGAATGGGAAATGGCACAGTCACTTTGGGAAACAGGATAGCAGCAGTTCTTCCAAAGGTTAGAGTCACGCAATCCCCCTCCTTCAGTATATACCCAACAGAATGAAAACGTACGGCCGCACAAAAGCTTAGTCATAAAAGTTCATGGCAGCAGCATTCATAATAACCCAAAGTCAAAACAAGCCAACTGCCCTTCAGTTGATGAGTTGATAAAACGCAGTACACCCGTACAAATATTATTTGCCAATAAGAAGTATGAAGTACAGATCCATGCTACAGCGTGGACAAGCCCCAGAAACACTGTTCAGTGAACGAAGCCAGTCACAACAGACTACATATGAGTCCATTTACGTATGAGTCCATTTATGTAAATGCCAGGAATAGGCCAATCTATAGAAACAAAGTCAGTCGGTGGCAGACTAGGGCCGGGGGTGGGCAGAGTGGGGAGGAAGGGTAACCGGCTATGCAACTGGGTATGTGTTTTTGCAACTGGGTATGTGTTTTTGCGGGGTGAGGAGAATGTTCTAAACGCGATTGTGTTGATGGTCGCACCATCCGTGAATATACTAAAAACCTTGCAGGTGCACACCTTAAACAGGTGAGCTGTATCTCAATAAAGCTGTTAAAAAAAAAAAAAAAAAAAGGAAACCAAGCAGATTGCCATCCCACAGGCTGTAGTTCGCTGACCTTGATCCACGTCAAAATGTGACCCCAAATGCCCCTCAGGGACAGAGTTAGCACAATTTAACCACCACAAGGAAGTCTGAAAGGGAGGCACACTGCCAGGCATAAGTCTTCGCACTTGTTTCCTTTTAACATGAACACCATGATGGTACCAGCACAGAGTCCCCTCAGAGGGGAACGGGTTAGGGGACCCTCACAAAGACGACGTGGATAAGGGAGAAAAGAAAGCAGGCTACCAACAACCTTTTGTTCCCTATTTTGGAACACTTACTCGAGATCTCTGTGAAGGAAAGCAATCATCTTGCCCTTGACTCTGACATTAAAAATATGGAGAATGCTTGACGTGTTAGTCCAGGCCCCATCGGAATAATGCGGTAACACACGAGGTTTTCTTGTTCTCACCCCAGCGTGAAGAAACAAACGAACATGAAAGGGCAAGAGCAGCTTTTCTTCCCCGTGTATCTGTCTCAGGCTGGATGTAACAGAAAGAACCAGAAGCCAGTTTCTTCTCCTTTGAGCCTTGCTAGCGACAGTCCCCTAACATCCATTTTCTAGAACACAAACATGGTAGGGAAACAGCTGTACTGACCTATTTGTTTGAAGCGCTGTTTGTTTCTTGAGGCTGTTGTGACACATCCCCACGAAGTTAGAGGCTTAAGCCAAGAGAAAGTCATTCTCTTGTACTTCTGGAGGCCAGCAGTCCCAAACCAGGGTGTTGGCAGAGCCGGGATACCTCTGGAGGCTCTGAGGGTGAATCCATTCCTTGCCTTCCCTGCGCCTGGGCTTGCGGCCGGGCCTCCCTGCTCCGCCTTCAACCACCGCCTTCTGCGTGCGGCTGGAGTCTCCATCTTCCTCCCTTATAAGGACCCGTGTGATTGTATCTAGGGCCCACCTGGGCTGCTCAGGCTCTGCTCCTCCTCTGAAGACCTTTAGCTTCATCACCTGTCTTGCCACATAAGTAATACTCAGTCTTTTGTCAAAGCACTATTCACAGGTTCCAGGGCTTGGAGATCAACGGGTGTTGGAGGCGGGAGCATTTTTCAGCCTCCCCCGGTAGCCAACTGGCCCGAGAGCAGGGGAAGGCCATACCCGTCTCGGAATTATTTTCCACCCGGGATTATGGATTTGCAGTATCATTCACTCAGTCCAGTCCCTGGCCAGAGGAAGGCATCTCTCTGCCCGGTGCCGCCAAGCTAGTAGTAGAGAAACAGCTCACGGCCCTAAAACAGAGCCCCTGACCTGAGACGGAGAAGGGTTTCAATAACCATTAGCTCTAGTACAGTTATGAGCCAAGACCTAACAGGAAAGAGTGGATGTTAGCATTTGTTTTCAAGCAATCGGTTTTGCATATTTATTTTTCTTTTCTCTCTTTAGCTTGAGAGTAACCAGTAAAAGCAAGGAGTCGGGGCTTTCTGACCTCACGCCGCCTGCTTTCTGCCCTTCCGGATGTGGGCACATCAACAGAGGAAGACGCAGGTTCACGTATGACAATTCAGAGCTGGAAAAGAAGATTTCGTGCTGCTCTCCTCCCCCAGACTACAACTCGGTGGTCTTATATTCCACCCCGCCTGTCTAAAGTTTGACACATCACCTTTCTAGAACCACACAAGTATTTATGCCCCCTGAAAACTAGCTTTTGCCAGTATGACACATATATAAATTTACACCTTTACCTTTCCACAGGAGCAAGCTGCCTTTTGTGATTTTTAATAGTGCTTTTTTTTTCTTTTTGACTAACAAGAATGTAACCCCAGATAGAGTAATAGCGATAAGTGAAAAACACCACTGGTAAATCCTCACATTATTCAGTGTGTTAGAGAAACCCTTTCTAAGCCCAATGACTTACCTGCTCCTACCCCCGAGACCACAGGGCATTTGATGATTCAGGAGATGCACTGATCCCGCAGTGCAGTATGGATGTGATAGGGCCCAGCCCCCTGGAACCAGGAGGCAACCAGCCCCAAGCCGGCCTGTTTAATGTCTCTGGGGTCCTCTAGCAGAAGCAACATAGGAGGAGGAGAAGGAAAGAAGGGAGAAAGGAAGCAGAGAGCAAACAGGACAGAGCACTGTAGGGAATTTGTGCTGTCCCAGATGGGAAGGGAGTAGGAGAGGGCTATCAGCCATGACCATGCTGTGGCTTCCAAAGCCCGACCGAACCCAGTCCACATGGAGAATTCAGCCAGGGAGCAGGCAGGACAGAAGGACGAGGGGACATTTTCCGGATTCTGGCAGGCAAGAAAAGATTGAACGCATTTTTTTGGAACTACAGAACAAATTTTAAAATCTTACCTATGGGACTGGATCTATGCCCGTTCTCATATATGGCACATTTTAAAATTTCTAGCACTGAACTTGTGCTTAAATCTGAGCCAAGACTGCAGGCCCCTCTAGTAAGAACCACTGAACACTCACCCTGAGCTAAGCTGGCTCTGCGACGTGACGGCCTCACACTTAGCAGGTTCCTTGCTCTGATCTGAGTAAGCTAATTGGAACGAGTTTGGCCTGTTTGGGGTTACCGGTCGGGCTTTAAGCCACATGTTCCAAAATATTGTCAGATTCTATTTCGAGTCTTACTATATAATCAAGATACTTCACTCAATTTTTTACATTAACCTGTTTTGTCCAGTTAGTTGTAAAAGGAAGCTGAGGAGGATGAAAACGAGTCTCGGGCATGGTTTCCTCTATACCAAAACCAGGACAGATGGAGCCAAAACAGGATGAACATAGTGAAAGCCCATCTCTGTGACAACCAAACCAACTCACTGGAACAGATGGGACCCAAAGGGTAGGAAGTCAACCGCGTTTCCTTTTTAATGGGGATCCTACTGTCTCATGCTAGTCTACTGGAAAGATGTGGAAGAACGTTAACCAATGTTTATTAAGCACTTTATGCTCCTTGAGAAAAAAGGTGATATGTAATTTATGCGAGATACTTTTAGAATTGGGACTCAGGATATTAGTTAATGAGCCATCAAGAGGACAAAAGCCTCTTTTCATCTGCTTTGGACCTTGCCTTGGGTCTGAGGATGGTGGAAACAGGGAGACAGGGTACACAAGGGTGCCGACTTTTCAGGGTCTGAGGACCCTGGCTCTCTCAATTGGCTCGGTTTGATGCTATGTATTTAGGATGTATGCACCTTCTAAAACCAGTCAAGGCTGGACAGACAACAGTGACCTGCTGCTTCTGCTGGTAGAGAAGAGTATGCTTCCCTTTATGCAAGGAACTTAACTCTAGAACCTGAAATATACTAGAAGAATCTTTACTTCTTTCCCTGTGTGTCACACTCTGGTTTCAAGGTTCTTAGTATAAAGAGCTGGGACGGTCAGCACACCCCAAGCAAGGCGGCAGGTGCACCACTGGTGGCTCTGCTGGGGAAACCTCTGGTCGGCAGGAGGTGAGGTAGGCCTCTCCACCAAGAGCCCAGGGCCAACAAAACCGGGCCAGGGCCAGAAGAGGGGATGAGCTTTGTTCTTCCTCTTTGCACGCACAAAGGCACCTGGGACAGCCGGCAACAGTATCAATCAGGGAACCAGAAGGAGGTTGAATAGGGAAAATAAAAGAAGACCTCAATTCTTTCATGCTTTCAAATCAGATAAGGAGCCAACAGTGAGTGAACACAAAAACCTTCACTACAGGTACCGCATCTTGAGTTCAATGATCTGATTCTGGATTGTTCAGACTTTAGTAATGTCATCTTTCCAAAACAAAAACAAAAACAAAAACAAAAACATATACTAGAACTCTGTTAATTCAGCTGCTTCAAAGACTCAGGTTTATAGCCTCCATGAGTCCATTGGTCAACAATGGTTTCATCTAGAGTCTTAATGCAGAAAGAAAAGTGGAAGCTTGCAGGAATGGGTCTATCTAGTGGCAAAGGGCTTGCCACAGAATGGTTTGTTTACCGGCCCTGAATATTTATTAAACAGCACTGAAAACTAAAACATTAATTAACTGATGATATTATTGGAACCATCTGCCATTTATGACAAAAATAGTTGGCACTGACAAGTAAAGCAGCATTTCCTTTCAGGATTTGTGAGACCACGTATGTGTAACAGTGTGGGTGGAATGGGACTGAAACCATATGCAAGTCTGTATCTAGTTAGTCTAAGAAATGATGCTCAGACCTTCGTTTTAGCCCATGGAACAAATTCGTCCAAATCCTGAAAAATGTCATGTAGGTCTTCTAGCTGTGCCTTGTTTCCCAGCCTGTAAGAATGTCAGACATGAAACAGATACTTGCCAGCCCCTTTTCACTGGTGAAAGGAGGAGCGCATCTTTGACAGTGGTAGTAACTGTATGTGTATATACGTGTGTGTGTTTTGTGCGTAACTATTTAAGGAGACTGGAATTTTAAAGTTACTTTTATACATACCAAGAATATATGCTGCAGATATAAGTAAGACTTAATTTGGTCCTACATCTCTAGTCACTATGAATGTATTTTGTATGCTATCTTCATATAATAAAATTAACTTCTAAAAACATCTACATATTTTCTCCAATTTGCTTATACGTGAAAAAAGGGTCACGGGTTTCCTTGGGGGTGGAGGACTGGTGTTCTGAGAGCTTTCTCTCTGTGCTGCAAGATGACGGTTCTAAAGCATCAGTAAATCAAAACCAAACTCATGCTAGGCACATAGTCCGGGAAACAAAACACTAAAAAGAACACAATCAGAGTAAAATGTACACACTGAGGGCAAGTGCTGGCTGCAAATGGAAGTGCACTTAACTTAAAAAGAGGTGGGTTTTCCCAGACACTGATTTTCAGCTAAGAAACGATGACCACAATTACAGGGTGTGTGTGTGCATTTACGGTTGAGTATTAGAGGTGGTATGCAGGGAACCATACAAAGTAATTAGACAAAAGCCCAAGACACAAGAGCTTCCCTAAGAAAAGTACACCAGCCAAGTGTCCTTTGCTTGTCTTTTCGTGGATTACATCTTAAAAAGAGAAATAATTCAGATCATCACTAATAGACATAAGTGACCAACACATCATCCTGGAAAGTGGTCTTACATCACCTTCCTAAAAACATCATGAGGAAACTAGACTGGAGACATGTAAGGGAAATCAGGCTGATTCTCTTGGGTACAGAGGCAAGAAAGAGGAAAAATGACTCATCCCAGTAAATGTGCGGTTAACTGAAGAGGACACAAGGCATTTTATCTTCATGAATCTGAAATCCTTCAAAAATATTACTGATTTTCATAACATAAGAGTAAAGTCACTCATCAAAGCACATGACTTGAAGAATGCTCCAAGAATTGGTGTCACATCATCGTTTTGAAATTTTCTCATGACTCTGGAAACTTACAGGACCTTTGGGAATTGTGGGGTTTCTTTCTTTCTTTCTTTCTTTCTTTCTTTCTTTCTTTCTTCCAGCAGAAGGATGGCCCAGTAAGGTTTACTGGATTCCTTAGTGTTAAACATATTACCAGACTTTTGGGTTTCACAGGCCAGTAAATTTTACAAAAATATCCTGGATTCCAATATAGGGATGACTAGCATTCTATTTTTTGAACAAAGGGTATTATAAGGGAGAAACAAAACAAAACAAAACAAAACAAAACAAAACCAACTAGATGCCACAAATGTTCTATTTCTCGGTCTGGGTACCTAGGTGTGTTCGCTTTGTGATAATTCAGAGGTATATACTTATTTGTGAACCTGTGTGTATGTGCGTGCTATTATTCAGTAAGAGATTGTTAAAAGAAAAAAACCCATTTAATATGACAACTTTTCACAGAAGACCCATTTTAAAAAGATTAAGGGCTTAATCTCAGACGAAAATAGATTAACTTCATGAGCCAGCAACTATGCTAAGTGCCTTAGAGGAATAAACTCATTCATTTTTTCAAAGCAATCCAACCCAACCAGTAACATACATTATACCCACATCAATGGGAAGATTGAGGTAATCAAGAGAGCTTCAAAATCTCACCCTCACATCTACCTGCCTGCCAGCACCTGTGCTCCACAGTCAGCCTTCTCTTCTGGACGGCCAGTTCGAAACACGTCCTCCTCATGCAGCTGGGTTCCTTCCTAGGCTCAGGGACACGGCTCCAGAAACACAGCACTCCCTCACGGCCATCAGCTGGTCCCTTTCCCACTAGATCAGACAAACATGCTATTTTCTCTCCCATGTTACAAAACAAAAAAACTTCCATCCTTCTTTCCCCTCTACCATTACATTTCTTTACTCCTCTTGACAGCAAAATTCCTTGAGGTGGTTAGTCTCTGTTTATGATCCCTCCCCCACCAAGTACTCTTCACTCCTCTCAAACCCAGCTTTCTGTCCCGCTCATGGACACCGCCCTTGATAAGGGTATCGGTTATCTGCGAAGTGCTAAATCCAACAGCCAATTTTCAGTCTCAGCCTTTCTGGACTCAACAACAACTTGCCCCTTTATTCCTGAAAATGCCTGTTTTAACTTTGATTCCAGGACATTGCACACTTTTCCTTCTAGTTCACGGGTCACTTCTGTCCCTCTTACACATTGTTCCAGTCACCCTAGGGCTCTGCCCTTGGACTTTTTCCTCTCCTCCGTTTATACTAACTCCCTTCATGATCTCAACCAATCTCAGGGCTTTAAATGACATCTATATGATGACTTGCAAATTACATGTACAGACCAGATCTGTCTCCCAGGCTCCAAACTCACACACCTGCGTGTGAAACT